AGCTCACCACGAGAGGGCCAACAAATATCCTCTGACCACTAAGCATAATACTTCAAAGAATAAGCAATAGACAGTTTCAACAAACAAATGCTTATATTTTGAAACATTTGACCTCTTGTGACCTTGACCTACATTTTGCGCAAGACAACTCACATGAACATGGAGAAAATAATATTAAATTCCATGCATATATATAGAAGTTATACTCGCAAATGATGTTTCAATTTGTTATATGACCTTTGCCACAGACACGTGACTTTTTCGCGCGACACTCAGTCTCACTATTCATGTAGAAGTTACAAGATATAGACCAGATATAGACCAAACAAATCCGGACGAATAGACCGAAGGACTGACGAACGGACGATCATACACACCGAAAAATACGCCAAAAGTGACGACTAAGTCGGGCTCAACGCAAACGGGCTCGACAAAAATATTAACATCTAGTGCCTTTAAAAATAGTTAGGAAAAAATGGAATATTCTAATGGAATTTGTTATTGCACTTTACACTTCATCTATTGAACATTGGGTAACGTTTGCGATTAGAAATGGGTTTTTTGTTGCCACTGCTCTTCATGTACGTGTTCTTTTAAAGTTACGATTTCAACTTAACGAATTCACGATTTTCACGACACGAATTCAAACCCACTCTTTACATACAGTCATATATAAAATTTTAAAAAAATTGTGTATATATGTATAGAAATATCCGGACAACCTTGTGTTCCCATTTATTTTAACGAGGGTCCTGCAGAATTTTCTTGTCGTTTATTTCTGATTTCATTTACGCTAAATTTCATTAAACCTGTTTCTTTTACAAAACCTTAAGGTTATTACCTTTTACCGAATGATTCAGTTGTCCAAAGTTGCGTGGTTTACAGTAACTACTTTTTCACAAGCCAAAAATGTTTTGATGTATAGCCTTAACTCAATCCCAGTCTACATTTTGCTATTTAGTTGCTTCAGATGGATCATTTCTTTTCAAGATTTCAACCATTGCCACAGTTAAAAGTAGCTTTGTGATGTTTCAGATGTGCAAATTTGTCAAATTCAAGATATGCCATTTATCATGTACAATATATGCCATTTGTCAACTACAAAATGTGCATATTTATCATGATTAATATGTGCCATTTTTCTCGGGGAAAAGCCATATGACATGTACAAGATATGCCATTTTTTCACGTACAAAATATGCAATTTGCGAAGTTCAAAATATTCATATTTAAAATGTATAATATGTGTCATTTGTCACGTAGAAGATAAACCATTTATCATGTACAAAATGTGCCATTTGTCAAGTGCATAATGTACTACTTACCACCCATTACGGATTTACTGTTTCTCATTAATAGTGCTCTTGTAGAATAGCCTTCACTTCAATCACTTCAACTTTCATTGGCCACCCATTGTGCCAACGTATCTGAATTAGGATCACTTAAACTCATTCTTCTATACAGTTCTCATATAGAATCGCAAAATGACATGCCTAGATGCAAAAATCACTTCAACAAGCGATCCAATATAACTGAAGAAAACTGCGTACATTTTGCTGATGTTGTTGTTTCAAATTTTAGGTTTTCTAGACAAAACAGAGGCGTCTTCTCGCTAGTTAAAGTGACAATAGTGTTGAGGATTAAATACCGCTTAACCGGTGATAGGGCGCATGCGGGATGTTGCACTCATGATAAGTTTCAATAAAAGCGAGTCTGCAGTATTATAAGGAGTGATTTTATGTACTTTTTGTTGTTGTTGTTTTTGTTGTAATATTGTTTGTTTGTTGCTTTTATTATTACTTCGCTCGAAGGATTTCCTATTTCTAAAGTTGTCTGTAGCAATTTGAGTTTTTAAGGTTCAAATTTTCTGTATTCAATAGGCTATGGAAAAGCCATTAATAAACGTACATAATTATTATACATAATAAAATATACAAAAAGTTCGTTTTTTAAGCTTAATGTGACGTGTAAAAAGCAATGTATCTGTTCACAAACTTTTTGATTTTATTTTGAAAAAGAATACTCTAAGTATCTTTATGAAAATGATATGTTAAGGAGCATGCACGAAATCAATGCTAAACGGTTAAACCCCTTGTTAAATATGGGTTTAACAACAGAGACATTCTATGCTAAAAACAATAATTTTACCGGGACTATAAAATGCACTCAACATGACAGTGTATATTTTATTATTATTTTCAGGAAATCGATTAAGGAAATGTAAAAACGAATGTTGGGCATGAAAAAGAGATACATGCACAACATTGATATGCATTTTGTTGTTTATTAATTATGCTTAAGTTTGTTAAATTACGCTAGTTCTAAGGAAAGGGTAAAATTCGATTTATCAGTTTTGTGGCTATAACGTTTTGACTACGTGCAGATAGGTTTTAACCATTTAAGTAACAGTTTTAAAATGTATGCAATTTTTTCATTAATTCAATATCGGTTGGGCTATCTCTGGCTCTAAGTAGTGCGTCAACGCGTCGACGCATGGAATTGACGAAACGTTGAACAAGGTTATTTGGAAGATTGTTCCAGTCCGCTATCAATGCATGTGTCAGTTGGAGGATATTCTGTGAGGCGTGATGTCGTCGCACATTTCTGCCAAGCACATCCCAGATATGTTCTATCGGATTCATATCTGGAGACATTGCTGGCCATCGCATGGTATTTACGTTGTTTGCAGCTAAGCGAGCGAGAGTTATCCTCGCCGTGTGAGGACGGGCGTTGTCTTGTTGAAACACAACGGAACCGTTTCATTGCATAAACGGAATAGCCTCTGCATTCAAGACTTCGTTGATGTGTCTCTCTGCGTTTAAGTTGCCGTGTATAACAATAAGCCGGGTCTTTTGTCCACCCATTATTCCGCCCTATATCAACACGCTTCCACCACCGAAACGATCACGCTGTGTAACACAGACAGATGCAAATATTTCGCCCTTTCGACGAAATATTCTTACACGGCCGTCGGCATGACTGATATTGTAACGAGACTTGTCTGAAAACAGGACAATATTCCAGTCTCGTCGCCGCCAGAGACGGTGCGCACGCGTGCCCACCCAAATTTACGGGTCTTACGGTCCCCGTTTATAGTGAGAATACCGCCCTGTATTTGGGCGTTCCCGTTTCTAATCGGGTTTTGTTGTGCCCCCGAAACCAATGCGGGTTACGTTAAAGCGGGCGGGGGGCCCGGGACCCCCGGGTCTAAACCCTTTGTCACGTAATTGAGTAAAAAACCAAATTCCCACGGTGGGCCCCTTTTGGGGGAAAGGGTTTCCCCTTCCCCCAACCGGGCCTTAACGAAAAAGCGCACACCCACCTTAAAACCCTAAAAGGGGTCTTAAAAAATTTCATGAACTTTGTTTGCGACAGCAGTTAAACGTTCTACTCACTTTCAACCCAACGGGAATCCCCAACCCGGGAAAGGTTTTCCCAAATTGCTTGATTCCCCTTTTTCCCCCCACTATAAACGTGGCATTGTGAAAGCTATCAACCTTTGGTGTGAATAACACTAAATTGCTACTGAACACATGTATAGTGCCTTACATCACTGTCTATCTGACATCGTTCAGCATGCACGGAAACTACAATTTTACGCTTAGCTACATTCTAGTGACAATATGCGGTCAAAACAAAAAACATTTATAGTGTATCTAAAGTACATGAGTACTCACTACACATGTTTTGATTTAAAAATATTTAAAAGAAATAAAGTGTAAGGTTTCTATTTTTAAACCCTTTCATCAAAGCACCAAAGCAATGTTCAATATTATAACTTTCAGTAATTTCACTATTAAATTTATTTATTTACAGATTCGTTAATTTTATATGGGTAATTTAAACGCATGTTTATCAATATATCACGTGGTAATGATACAACTCAATTGTGTTAGATATGTTATATTTTTGTCACGATTTATTATTTTCTGTTCCAAATAAGGAAGTAAATTTGAATTCCTTGAAATAAAAAAGAAATGATTTAAAAACGAAAGTTGGGATTGTTAAGAACAGTTCACAAATATAAGACGTTTTCAGACTGAACAAGAAAATGCCTGGTAAAGAATTTTATTCATATTTACTCGTAATGCACTATCTATAAATTAAAAACATTCTTTGTGTATTATCTGAGGAATAAGACATTTAATTAGACATTAACAATTTGACTTCACTTTCGTTTTTTAATTATCATCTTAGACAATCATACTTTAAGTTGCACGCCTCCGGGTAACAAAAATATTTTAAGACAAACTTGACAAACCTAAGAAAGAGGATTAAGACTCTGTGAAAAGTAGAAATAATCAAGTAAAAAATTAAATATTGTAAGCGATTAATGACTAATTATGCAGTATTCATCACCGTATTTCTACTGCGTAACTAACGCATTAAGTACGAAAGGCGGTAAGGGCCATTTCAACTTCATGAATTCACAGTTTTAACTTCATGAATACCCGTTTTCAACATACGGTATTCATGAATTCCCGATTTTAACTTCACGATTTCACGATTTTAACTTCACGAATTTAATTGCGTCAATTCATGATTTCAACTTCACAAATTCATGATTTCAACTTCAATAATTCACGATTTCAACTTCATGAATTCAACTTCGTGAATTAACGATTTCAACTTCATGAATTCGAATTCACGATTTCAACTTCACGAATTCACGATTTAAACTTCACGAATTTAACTTAGTGAGATAACGAATTCACGATTTCAACTTCTTGAATTCACTATTCGAATTTCTCGAATTCACGATTAGAACTTCACGAATTTAACTTTGTGAATTCAAGATTTCAACTTCATGAATTCACTATTTCAACTTCACGAATTCACGATTTCAACTTCATGAATTATTACGAAAACTGAATGACCAATGAACTAGCAGTAGAAAAGAAATGGTGTTTTGTTATTTACCTATAATGGATCTTAGTTGTTAAACTGACACTTTTTAATTAGTGAATTAAACACGTTATAGCTTCCATTATTCATTTCAGAAATTGTAGTATATGTTTGGCGCCCATCTGGAGATTATGTCGGCCATAGCTCCTTGCAATTGAATGATGGTACATATATCAGTTGGTGGCCTGAAAAAGAGTGTGGTCCTACCAATCCTCGATCAAAAGCTGCGCCCAATGATTCACTTGAAAACGATATTGAGGCAGAAGGCAATAGACAGCCTCATGCCTACAGGATTAAAATATCAAGTGAAGAGCAAAATGCTATAGTTCGGTGGTGGACAAACTTCAAGGCAAAGGCAGACTACCAATTCATTTCAAACAACTGTTCAACAGTAGCCTACTACGCACAAGAGGCTGCTTTCCCGTTTCTCTCGAAGCTAAATGATGAAATTCCAGTATGGGTACCAGGGGCTATTGAAATGGTAGCACAAGATTTGGCTGCTGGGAAAAGAAGTTTTGACCAAAAGAGAATCGATGAAATCAAAAAGGCCGTGGGAGATGAGGTAAAACGAATCTCAGGAGGAAAAAAGAATGCCAACAGTTTCAAAGTTGGCTACAAAGGGAGGAAGTAAAGTTAATTTGAACATTATAAAATATCAGTAATTATATTTGAATTACACCAATACTGAAAAAGAGTATTGTTTAACTAGAAATGATTACATTTTATTTATCAAATATAAACTTTAATAGCTGGCTACAAGATACATGTATTTATTTTAATCTTGACCTCTTAAAAGGTATAACCTTAAAACGACATTATGCTCATTTTTTTCTTTGTCAAATTGAGTTAAATTAGAAGTATTTTTCAAAAGATTTACTATTTTGATGGTGTTTGAATAATAATTGATAATAAGAAATGTTTGGCACAAAATATAAACATGCCTTTAACACAAAACATAGATAATTCCGAATGATATTTTTAGAAATTTCAGTGTGCCACTAAATAAATATAAGGATAGAATATGAATTTGGAAACAAATATGGTCAAATATAAACTTATTTCGACTTTCTCTTGTACCCTCAATATTTACACTTGGAAAGGCATAATGTCAATTTAAGACGAAAGTTGGTCAGCAACAAATATAGAACTTTGTCAGACTGCAAATATTGTTTTCTTTCTGTGTGCATTTATCTTCACTTATTTCAAATATCGTAATACATATACCAGAAAATGTTTAAAGGTGCAGCAAATAAAGGCTATTTTTATATATTAGTTCTTTCCTTTTGTTTGTATTTCATCCTAATTTATACAAGTTTATCTGGTAATACGTGGTGGTCCTGTGTGTTCCTCAGGTGTATGTCTATGTTGTTTTGGTGACACTTTTGCTTGAGTCCCTTGTTTTCTCGTCTACGGTATGTATCTTCCTCTTTGCCCCTAGTATTATTTCTTTGATTTGCCCCCCCCCCCCCGTCCCGGGTCTCCTGTCCCCTTCCCCTGTGCCTTTGACTTTGTGGGCCTATTATTCAATCTTTTATTTTGAATTCCTTATCAGTTACAAATTATTTCCTATTATACAATCATTTACTTGTTTTCTTTGAATTCCTTGTCGGTTACAAATTATTTATCATTTAAGTGATTAGCCTGTCCGTGCTTTACCATGAGCCCTGTCCTATTTTTGTTTGGGATCACCTGGGCTCCTTGCCACTGGTTCTTGTTGCTGGGTCGTGTGGGGGTTGCGTTCATTGAACGCCGCCTTTCCTTGTTGGTCTTGTTTATCATATTTTGCACATTGAATCTAACAGAGTACAGTTCAGCCACTACAACGTTCCTGGGCCGACTTTCAAACAATATACCAGCACTTTCGCAATGAATTGATAACTTCTGTACATGTCAGATGAGCGGTATAGTGCGAATAACCGTAGAAAAGATTTGATTTCATGATCAGTCACAGCAAATTTGATCTGAACCGTCCGGGAATCGAACTAAAATCGCCTTTTTCACAGTCCAACGCTTTACCTATTGAGCTCACTGGACGATGTCTTTCTGGTAATACTCATTTTCTTTCAAATAAAGTAATCAAAATAGATGGTTTAGAAATATGACAAAAAAGTAGCAACAAATATTTATATTTGATTTAGCATACCTTTCTTTTGCATTGAATAAATACTATTATTATATAATCAATAAATAGCTTTGAAATGCCTTTCCCTGCTTACAAGCAAATTTATGTAAAAAATAACAAGTCAATATCAGAGTAAATTCACCTGTTTTTCTTCTAAAAATAGATTTTCTGAAAATTCCTCGAAAGACGCGAGACTATGACGTGACTTCACGCCAAGTTCGTTGTTATTCTTCTGGGAAAAAAGTTTGAGTGACTCGTAAATAAGAGTCAAATTAATCTATTTTAGTTACCGTCTTTACATTTTAAGAACATTACGAATAAGCATGCCAATGCACCCGTTTAAAAGACAGGGCGTAAATTATGGAAAAAGTAGATAAACTGAAATTTAAAATTTTCGATTTCCGTCGTACGCAATGACAGATTTGATAAGCCATAAAAGATATTTATAAATTATATCATAAAACAGATCTGAACTTTTTATTATCATATTCACAAGCTAAAAAGTTAATATTTGTATATTATTATATAATCAATAAATAGCTTTGAAATGCCTTTCCCTGCTAACAAGCAAATTTTTGTAAAAGTAACAGTTCAATATCAGAGTATATTCACTGTTTTGTTTTCCTAAAAATAGATCTTCAGAGTATAGTCACCGGTTTTTATTCTAAAAATAGATTTTCTGGAAATCCCCGAAAGACGCGAGACTATGACGAGACGTCAAGCCAAGTTCGTTGTTATTCTTCTGTGTGACTCGTAAATTAGAGTCACATAAGTCTATTTTAGTTACCGTCTTTACATTTTAAGAACATTACGAATTAGCATGCCAAATTATGGAAAAAAGTAGACAAACTGAAATTTTAAATTTTTGTTTTCCGTCGTATGCAATGACAGATTTGATTAGCCATTTGAATGATATTTATAATTTTTTTTTTGGCGTATTATATTTTCGACGTTCTTATATTTTCGACGGTAGCCATTTCTATCCGAATATGTTATGATCTCGCGAGAATGTTTTAACTCCACACCTTCCGAATGTAAACAAAATGATGCTGGATGCCGCTAAAATGTCAAAGTAACATAACATGGAAATTAGACAGGTAAACCTTTTATCACAACGTTTATAATGGTCAAACACGTGTATTTTCTTATTTCCTAAAAATCTGTTGGTAAGAAACACAATAATATAAATATTATTGCCTAAAAAATTAAATGTGTTTCCATACGTCTGCTATGATCATCAATTCTCCCAAAGGTCACGTGATATGTCAAATTTTATGTACAGGGTGTTCCCAAAAGTTCATTGATTACACAATGTATGCTTAGGGTTCAGACTACTAAATTAATTTCTTCTTCATTTTTTTTTCAGATTAAGACTCCCATCCGGGGCAAGTATAGGTCCTACACAGCAAGTGATCTGAATGAAGCTTACAGGACAGTAATAGAAGAAGGATTGCCTGTAGAGAGAGTTGCCAAAAGGTTTAGTGTGCCTGTCACAACCCTTAAAGATAGAGTTAAGGGGAGAGTTGATATTGACACTGTAAAAATCAGGTCCCCAAACTATATTTAGTCAAGAGCAGGAAACTTTCTTAACTGAACATTTAAAAACTATGGCAGATATAGGTTTAAGACACCAGATTCCGCATATTTTGTTTTTCCTGGAGCAAGAATGTTGCCAGCTTTATTGGAAGGCGCTACAGCAGGGTCTCAAGGTGATGTCTCAGAGTCAGGGTGGTCAAATACAGAAATATTTACTAATTTCATGATTCAGCATTTAGAGCCATTACTGCCAAGTCGCACTAAAGAAACCCAAGTTCTGGTGTTGTATGATGGTCATAAAAGTCTACTCTAGGTCTTATTGAGTGGGCAAGATCACAACACATCATTCTTTTCGTACTTCCACCACATTGTTCACATCTATTACAACCTATGGATGTTTCATGTTTTGCACCTTTTGAGGTAGGATGGAATTCAGCGTGTCATCAATACCTGAGAGAATCTGGTGGTCGTATAGTTACGCACTATGAAGTTGGTAAAATAGCAAGCAAAGTATACCCAGCAAACCTCACACCTGTCAATATACAGTCTGCCTTCAAACGCTGTGGATTTTACCCATTTAACTCTGATGTTGTAAGTGAGCTTCTATTGCATATTCTTTGAGTTTTCAAACTGAAATCACTAATTCATCTAAAATTGTTGATGGTAGTAAAAAAGGCCAAGATGAGGTATCAATTGCATCAGATGCTAGGTCATTTCTAGAAAATAGAGGTAGTAAAGTTTTGCAAAATGTTCCACTTGCTAAGACAAGAAAGACTTTAAGTAAGGTTGTTGGAGGATTAGCGGTGACTGAAGACCAAGTGTTTGATGCAGTTAGACCAAAAGTCAAATAAGTCAAAGCGTATCAACACCTCTGTTGCTAGTACATCTGGTATTCCAAACAAAAAAAGTCAAAAGACTATGTTGTTGCTAATACTGACTCGGATGTTGAGGAAAATGACATTCTAGATTCTGACAAGTGTATTGTTTGCAGGCGTCACAATGTAAAAGACATTGACAAATTGCCATATTTAACTATCGTTAACTGGGGATGTTGTGACAGGTGTGATGGGTGGGTTCACCTGAGGTTTTGCAGTCCAGTTAGAGTGCTAAGAAGGAATGACACTTTGCTGTGCCCTTCTTGCTCTAATGAACAATAGACTTATCTGTTAAGTTATTTTATATAAAAAAAATGAAGAAAAAAAATGAAAAGAAAAAAACTTCAACAGTTTACGTTTTATTATGTTGTTGGACATTACCATTATTTTCAGAAATTGTTCTACATTGTTTGGAATAAGTTGCTTTCTTCTTGGACTGATAGTATTTTACTGATATACAGTGTGAAAAACTTTTTTGACCACCCTGTACCTTAATTTCCTCGGCCAATGAAAATCGTCGAAAATATAAGACGTCATTTTTCTCAGAAACCAAAATGGCTGCCTCCATAAAACTAGTGTAAAAAGGTAAATTGTTATGTTTTTGTATTGAAATTTTCAAATTATAAAGGAAAAAGGTAATTTTAGTTGATGGAAATATGAAATATGCATTTATTTCCTTTTTACATTTTTGCCGACACGAAATGTCCTTACACCGTCGAAAATATAAGAAGCCAGGATAATATAACAGATATGGACTTTTAGCTGGTAAATATGATTTGATATGTACTGAAAAAATAATATTGACCTCTGTTATCGCCTTGGAAATAAATTATCTTCGTAATATCATTTACTTATCTCAATAGTTTAATCAGGTTTAAACTGTTAAAAAGACAGTATTCATAAACGTTCACAAACCTTTTTTAACTGGGAAAATATAGAAAAAAAATACTTTTTTAGAAATAAAAAAAAAACTTTTTCACCCAGTGTCTTTTAAAATAGTCAGAAAAAAGAAGAACTATTCAAATGAAATTTGTTTTTGCACTTAACGCTCTATCTACTGAGTATTGGGTAAAGTTTGCGTTACAAATGTTTGTTGGTGTTTTTTTGTTGGCACTAATCTTCATGTACGTGTTCTTTCACGAATTCACGATTTCAACTTTACGAATTCACGATTTTAACATCTCGAATTCAACTTCACTCCTTTCTTACAGTCATATATAATATTTTAAGTATCATGCATATTTGTGGCCACCTTGTGTTTCCTGTTATTGTAACGAGGGTCCTGCAGAATTTTCTTGTCGTTTATTTCTGATTTCATTTACGCTACATTTCATTAAACCTGTTTCTTTTACAAAACCTTAAGGTTATTACCTTTTACCGAATGATATAGTTGTTCAAAGTTGCGTGGTTTACAGTAACCACTTTTTCACAAGCCAAAAATGTCTTGATGAATAGCCTTAAATCAATCCAAGTCTACATTTTGTTGTTTAGTTGCTTCAGAGGGATCATTTCTTTTCAAGATTTTAACCATTCCAACAGTTAAAAGTAGCTTTGTCATATATAAGATGTGCAAATTTGTCATATTCAAGATATGCCATTTATCATGTACGATATATGCCATTTGTCAACTACAAAATGTGCATATTTATCATGATTAATATGTGCCATTTTTCTTGGGGAAAAGCCATATGACATGTACAAGATATGCCATTTGTCAACTACAAAATGTGCATATTTATCATATGCCATATTTCATGTACAATATATGTCATTTTTCACGTAATTTCACTATTAAATTTATTTATTTACAGATTCGTTAATTTTATATGGGTAATTTAAATGCATGTTTATCAATATATCACGTGGTAATGACACAACTCAGTTGTGTTAGATATGTTATATTTTTGTAACGATTTATTACTTATTTTCTGTTCCAAATAAGGAAGTAAATTTGAATTCATTGAAATAAAAAAGAAATGATTTGAAAACGAAAGTTGGGAATATTAAGAACAGTTCACAATAAGACGTTTTCAGACTGAACAAGAAAAATGCCTGGTAAAGATTTTTATTCATATTTACTCGTGATGTTCTATCTTTAAATTAAAAACATTCTTTGTGAATTATCTGAGGAATAAGACATTTAATTAGACATTAACAATTTGACTTCACTTTCGTTTTTTAATTATCATCTTAGACAATCATACTTTAAGTTACACGCCTCCGAGCAACAAAAATGTTTTAAGACAAACTTGACAAACCTGAGAAAGAGTATTAAGACTCTATGAAAAGTAGAAATAATCAAGTAAAAATCTACATATTGTAAGCGATTAATGACTGATTATGCAGTATTCATCACCGTATTTCTACTGCGTAACTAACGCAGTAAGTATGAAAGGCGGGAAGGGCCATTTCAACTTCATGCATTCACAGTTTTAACTTCGTGAATTCCCGTTTTCAACATACGGAATTCATTAATTCCCGATTTAAACTTCACGAATTCACGATTTTAACTTCACGAATTTAACTTCGTCAATTCAGGATTTTAACTTTACAAATTCATGATTTCAACTTCACTAATTCACGATTTCAGCTTCATGAACTACTTCGTGAATTAACGATTTCAACTTCATGAATTCGAATTCACGATTTCAGCTTCACGAATTCACGATTTAAACTCTTCACGAATTTAACTTCGTGAAATAACGTTTTCAACTTCACAAATTCACGATTTCAACTTCATGAATTCACGATTTCAATTTCATGAATTCACGATTTCAAAGTCTTGAATTATTAGGCAAACTGAATGACGTTTGGTGACTATTTTGTTTTTTACCTATAATGGATCTTAGTTTTAAAACTGACACGTTTTAGTTAGTGAATTAAACACGTTATAGCTTCCATTATTCATTTCAGAAATTGTTGTATATGTTTGGCGCCCATCTGGAGATTATGTCGGCCATAGCTCCTTGCAGTTGAGTGATGGTACCTATATAAGTTGGTGGCCTGAAGGAGACTGTGGTCCTACCAATCCTCGAGCAAAAGCTGCGCCCAATGATTCCCTTGAAAACGATATTAAGGCAGAAGGCAATAGACAGCCTCATGCCTACAGGATTAAAGTATCAAGTGAAGAGCAAAATGCTATTGTTCGGTGGTGGACAAACTTCAAGGCGAAGGCAGACTACCAATTCATTTCAAACAACTGTTCAACAGTAGCTTACTACGCACAAGAGGCTGCTTTCCCATTTCTTTCAAAGCTAAATGATGAAATTCCAGTATGGGTACCAGGGGCTATTGAAATGGTAGCACAAGATTTGGCTGCTGGGAAAAGAAGTTTTGACCAAAAGAGAATCGATGAAATAAAACAGGCCGTGAAAGATGAGGTAAAAAGACTATCCGGAGGATCAAAGAAAGCCAACAACCTCAAAATAGGCTTTAAAGGAAGGAAGTAAAGTTAATTTTAAAAGGAATAAAAACAGTAGTTATAATTGAATTACACAAATTACTTAAACAAAGTGTAGTGTTTAACTAGAAATTATTACATTCATTTATCAAAATATAAATTGAAATATCTGGCTATAAGATACATGTATTTATTTTAATATTGACCTCTTTAAAAGATGTTACCTTAAAAAGACATTATGCTCATTTTTTCTTTGTCAAATTGAGTTGAGTTAAAAATATTTTTCAAAAGATTTACTATTTTGATGGTGTTTTAATTATAATTGACCAAAAGAAAAATTTGGGACAAAACATAAAAATGCCCTTAAAACATAAAAAGACTGTCCCGCTATTTTTTATCAACTGAGTGTCAATGATAATTCTGAAGGATATTTTTAGACATTTCCGTGTGCCACAAAAAACTATAAGGATAGAATATGAATTTGGAAACAAATATGGTAAAATATAAACTAATTTCGACTTTCAACTGTACCCTCAAAAGTTACACTTGGAAAGGCATAATGTCACTTTAAGACGAAAGTTTGGTCAGCAACAAGTATAGAACTTTGTCAGACTGCAAATATTGTTATATGTTTTCTTTCTGTTTGCATTTATCTTCACCTTTTTCAAATCTCGTAATACAAAAACCATAAAATGTTTGTAGATGCAGCAAATAAAGGCTATTTTTATATATTTATACTTTACTTTTGTAAGTATTTCATCCTTATTCATACAAGTTTATCTGATAATATGTGGTGGTGGTGTTGGTATTTTTTGGCAAATTGAATTTACCAGAGTAAAGTTCAGCCACCACAACGTTTTTGGCCCGGCTTCAAACAATTTGCCAGCACTTTCGCAAGGAAGTGATAACTTCTGTACATGCCAGATGAGCGGTATAGTGCGAATAACCGTAGAAAAGATTTGATTTCATGATCAGTAACAGCGAATGTGACCTGCACCGCCTGGGAATCGAACTAAAATTGCCCCTTTTTCACAGTCCAACGCTTTACCTATTGACCTTACCGGACGGTGTCTTTCTGGTAATACTCATTTCCTTTCAAATAAAGCAATCAAAATAGATGGTTTAGAAATATTATCGTAAAACAAAAAAAAGCAGAAACAAATATTCGTATTTGGTTAAGCATAACATTCTTTTGCATTGACATAATTGTAATGGAAATAAATTAACTTCGTAATATCATTTACTTATCTCGACAGTTTAATCGGGTTTAAACTTGAACAATATTCAAAAACGCTCACAAATCTTTTAACTGGGAAAATATAAAAAAATACTTCTTTTAGAATTAAAAAACTTTTTCGCCTAGTGTCTTTTAAAATTGTCAGAAAAAAAGAACTATTGAAATGATTTTTTTTGTTGCTCTTAACGCTTTATCTACAGAGCATTGTGTAACGTTTTGCGGTTACAAATGTTTGTTTGTTTTTGTTAGCTCTAATCTTCATGTATGTATTCTTTCACGAATTCACGATTTCAACATCACGAATTCAACTTCACTTTTTTTACAGTCATATATAATATTTTAAGTATCGTGTATATTTGTTTTGGAATACCCGGGCAACCTTGTGTTTCCTTTTATTGTTACGAGGGTCCTACGAAATTTTCTATTACAAATTTAGGTAATTGCCATTTACTGAAAGACATAGGAGTCCAAAGGTGCGTGGTTTACAATACCATTTTGTCACAAAGCAGAAAAAAGTCTGCAAATTTTATGTAATTTTGCTTTTTACGTTGCTTTACAAGATTTTTAACAATGCCACAATTGTAAGAAGTAGATTTGTCATGAAAAAGATGATCCATTTGTCATGAAAAAGATGATCCATTTGTCATGTACAATATATGCCATATTTCTCATGTACAAGATGTGCAATTTGTCATGTACTAGAATATGCCGTTCTTATCATACAGTAAATGCCATTTGTCATGTACAAGATGTGCACATTTGTCATTTACACAAACTACATATTTTCCATATACCACATATACAAGATGTGCACTTGGGCATGTACTTGATATGCTATTTGTCATGTACAAGATGCGCCATTTGTCATGTACAAGATGCACCATTTGTTATGTACAAGATATGCTTTTTTGTCACATACAAGATATGTCACGTACAAGATATGCCATTTGTAACGTACAAGATGCGTCATCTGTCATTTACAAATGCGGCATTTACTTTGTTCAAGATGTGCCATTTGGTAAATACAAGATGTGCTTTTGTCATGTACATGATATGCCATTTGTCATGTACAAGATGTGCCATTTGCCATGGTTCAAGATGCGCCATTTGTCATGTACAAGATGCGCCATTTGTCATGGTTCAAGATGCGCCATTTGTCATGTACAAGATGCGCCATTTGTCATGTACAAGATGTGTCATTTGTTATTATTATTTATGGTTCTTTACACGGAGCATGGGCGTTTTCTCGTTAGTTAAAGTGACAATAGCAAAACATATATTTATTTTAAAAGTAAACATGTTGTTGAACAATACCAATTATAAAGCCATGACATTCATACAATAAATATATCCACGTACACAACAAATCATTATATAAAACAATCTTGTAAATTTAATTATGCTATTAGAATAATAAATATTTTTAAAAATGTAAAAATACAGGTCTATCCCCTCTGCAGAGACATTTTTTTTATTTTTGTTTGACTTCTTTTTGAGTCCAATTATCAAATCAGCGCTACTGCTCTAAATCTTGTCTAGATTTTATTTCCAGAGTCCAAAAAATCCATATCAAATCGCTGTTGTTCTCCATCTTGTCAAGATTATATTTTCCGAGTCCAAAATATCCATATCAAATCACTATTGTACTCCGTCGTTCCTCGTTTTCACTTTCAGGGTCTAAATAACATCACCTTATTGTATTTGGTTTAACAAAAGCTACGTCTGAATGACAAAATTTGATGGTTTGAAATAAAGAGGACATTAGCTCTTCGTCCAAAATATAGTAATGATGAGTGATACAACAGCGTCTTTTAAAATATACAGATGAGTGATAAGGAGTGATACAATAGCGTGCTGAATCTTCATAAATATACAGATGAGTGATAATGATCAATACAAAAGCGTCCTTTATCTTCATAAATGGACAGATGAGTGATACAATAGCGTGCTGAATCTTCATAAATATACAGATGAGTGATAATGATCAATACAAAAGCGTCCTTTATCTTCATAAATGGACAGATGTGTGATACAATAGCGTGCTGAATCTTCATAAATATACAGATGAGTGATAATGATCAATACAAAAGCGTCCTTTATCTTCATAAATGAACAGATGAGTGATACAATAGCGTCCTTAATATTTATAAATAGACAGAAGGGTGATGATGAACGATAAAATAACGTTCTTAATCTTCATTAATGAAAGATGAGTGATACAATAACGTCCTTAATCTTCATGAATATGCAGATTAATGCCAAGAAAATCGTCAATACAGATAACTCTATCATTAATAAGACAGTTCTATCCAGAAATTTGCGTGAAATATTTTTGTAACATTTTAAAAATCTAGATTTCTAATATTGTTTTATATATATCTACGTGTATAATATTACACTTCATTTAGAATCAAACTATCTTTCTCTGGCATGAAGCCCGTTTCAGTGTTGTCAAAGTTCTGTAGTGAAGAATAATGATAGTTTTTCCGCTGACCACCGAGCAATCGCTCGAGACAGGGCACCTTGTAGCATACTGACATCACAACAAATGACGTCATCATGAACATCATATTGAATATAAGATGTAAACCAAACGCTGCTACGATAAAATGAACGTTTCTTTCATCATGCTGATCCCAAGCAGGGTTGTGAAGACGACCTGAAAATAAAGTTTAACAAAAAAACTTTAAAACAGAGCAATTTGTATACAGATTTGATATATCAAAATAATAAAAGACACTGAAACTTAATCTCAAAGGAACTCCACTGAGATCTAAAAGCCTAAAAACATAAAATTTGAATTTCTTACATAGATCATCTGGGCAATAAAGCAGATAGATGTGCAAAAGATCATTCAGAATATACTTAGATATAGATTGAAAGTCGTATTTTACGATAGTCTTAGTCCGATTTGAGTAACGCCTTTTATTTTTGTGTCCCTTTATTTTCATAGTAAGAATATTTTTTATGTATAAAACGGAGTGAAGAAATGATCTGAAATTTTCCATACAAGTTTTTTTTTGTCTAGAATAGCATCATATGGAACATTAATCTTGAAAAAAAACCACCTCCGAAACCTCCAGTGGAGTCCGCTTCAAAAGTAAGGAAATTATCCCGTATATTTACCAAGTTGTCAGAAAAAGCACGTGTATAAATAAATTGTTTGTTAAACTGTTATGGCATACCTGGAAATGGTGTTGGTAGAAACAACACGTTCGCCAAGTAGATATACCAGGTCCCAAGGGTTAGCGTACAGAGGCAGCGCAATATCTGTGGCAGAATCAAATCCCTATGGTAACACTCCACTAAAACAGCCAGTCCTGCTAACGCCGTCAGAGGAATTCCAAGTCTATTTTTAGTTACAAATTAAAAGCACGTGAGCGTCACATAAATCATTCATCGTCTGAATATACGGTTTATTAAACACTCAATAGACTGGCAACAAAATGTGAGCATTTTCTATTGCTTATTGATTTACCATTAAATCGGAAAACGCACTTTTGCCATTTTATCTGAACTGTGAGAATTAAACAAACCATTCGATACAACTTGAAGGTGCATAAATAATTCATATATAAATCTATTTCTTAATTGTTGATGCGTATTGATTTCTTTCGCGACCATTTTTGGTCACAAGACTATAATAATTCTGAAATCAAAATGCCGATTTAGTAAAAGAGAAAATGACTTAGTGGTCATGCTTCCTTGACTCATAAGTAGTTCCCCTTTTATTCTAGGGCAATGAAATTCTTAAGTAGTTCATACATACCCAAAATGCATGAAATTAGAAATTTTATTGACTGTAAGACTATATATCAAACAAGAATTTGTCCACACATGAGTAGCAGTAGTATTCAATAGACATAATATTCAATTAGTTTAAAAACTTAGACCTAAAATATAAAGTAATGCTAAAGATTCTACACGTATAAAAATTATTAACCTTTTTTTTTTAAAAAAAAAGAAAGAAAAAACATACCTATGTAATTCATTTTCTAACGGAGGTTTGTGCATGTTCGGGTCACTATGGAAGTAAAACTCCAGGCTGAACCTATCAAAATATAGCAAAAATATTAAAATTCACTATGCTGAAAAGGTCAGAAATTTGTTTAACCAAACCATATAGCTATGTAAAAATGTTGTGATATTAACAGAAAACGCAATAATAACCCGTTTGAGCTCCATATAGCAATGTTTAAATTACAATGGTTTGTTCTGTGACGTTCCTGGAGGAATTGTTTGGCAAAACCTTATCATTCAACAGTCGAACTTCGTTCGCTCGAACTCAAAGGGCCCGGCCAAATTTTTTCGAGATATTGGTAGTTCGAGTCATCCGAGGTTGAAGAAGTATTTCAGGTGTAATCAATATAAAGCTACGCTCCTGTATGTGCTAAAATTATATAGCTGTAAGCAGGGTCTTTCAAATAGTAATATTTGAAAGACACTTCTGTTAGTAACTATGTTAAAGTTTAAAGACAGTTGACTATGTTAAGTTCAAAGATAGTTGAAATTAGTGACAACTGTTTTCAGTGTTTTTTTTTTGTGTTTTTTCTTCTGCTAGAACCTGAAAAAGCCCAATGTGAAACAAGTATCGACAATGTTTGAAAACTTTCATTATTTCAGATTGGATTCCACAAACAAATGTCAGCATGATGATTTTATGGTTATATAATTTTGAACCTTCATTGCAATCATGTAATGTAAACTCTAAAATAAAAATATCCTTCGCCATCTAACCAAAGAAGGAAAAAAATGACTTTTTGATGTGGCATTCTGTAGGCTTTATTCCAAACGTAACATTACAGGTTTTATTCCTAGAACTTAGCGTATCTGAAATACAGTAAAATAAAGCTGGATTATAAAGCGTTTAAGGTCTACGACTCGATGATGGGTGCATATTAAATAGATACGAAAAAGGCTAAAAACGCAACAAGATTTCATATGATCCGGATCAGTGGGCGCTTATTAGTTTAAATAGTTTTAATTATGCTATAGAATCGTCATTGTTAAGTGCTGAATAGCGAAAAGTACATAAATGAGATATATAAAGGATATTGAATGAGTGTAGGTTTAATACTGAATTTACTGAATAAGTTTGATAAATTATGTTGTAGAACCTCTGGCGAGCAAATCATTATTTTATTAACTTTAGTAATGAACCTACACGAATATTACATTCTATTTATCACATACCAAAACTATAGACTGTTTAAAGTGAAAAAGAATCATTTTTCACCGAGGCGCCTATATTGTAACGCTAACATTTAGCGCGTCTTTACAATATGTTTACATAACGCAAATGACGTCACGTAAAAATATCTGCACGGCCATGCAATTATATACCAGAGTGACAACACGGCCATTATCAAGGCCTTGAACGAAACAAAACGAAAACATTTTTACGGAATCGCAAAAGCGGCGCGGTTTTGTGATAAGGATGTTATACTTACCAGAATAATGCCATAGAAAATGTGAAATATTTCATGCCCTTGATCGCCGGTAGTTTATAGTATTCCATCAGGTCTGATATGCCATGTAGTACAAATAATGAATGTATAACTATATGCTGAAGACCTACGATGTGTATAAAATGATTCTCCTTGTCAACAAACGTCCAGTGCTCGTTAAAAAGATCTGTCACCAAACCTGTTTGAAATGAACAAACAAAACCACGTGACTTTAATTGATTCTTTGGCTTCCTCCATTTATGAAGAGCAGAACATACAGTACATACAACATGTACAATCATTTCTTAACAGTATTAAAATTTACAACAATTGGCATTTTTAATGTATAGTAAGAAAACCAACAACAACCGTAAAGCATCGTACAGAATAGTACAATGAATATTACAATGTTGTAATTTACATATGCGCTGAAAGTAATGGGAAAAAATATTCTACGATAAAAAAGTGGACAGGTTCTTTCGAAATCAGTTTACGTGCCTGTTTTATATGCGTAATGAAATATGTATATGTATTATTTCTGATTGAAAATAACAGCTTGCAATAAATATTGTGTTGTCAAACAGTCGTTTTAATCATTGAAACGTTTAAGATTAGATATATAATTATAGTTATCAATATCATTCATAGCTAAATGGTTAACAGAACAAATTTCTTCGTGTCTGACATTTTAAAGAGGCGTTTGGCAATAAAGTAATTTTGCGGACATGTTCCCAATATACTCGAGAACTCGGCAAATGCGGGTTTTCAAATCTATTCCCGGGTACAAACAAACTTTAACATTTGGACACTGCAGAATTCAACTCACCTATAAATGGACAAAACGTTTTGAAAAATAGAGACTCGAACGGTATTTGTTTCCCCTTTATTGTCACGTGATATGACAAATATGATTTGTACTGTTTTCCAGATTGTGTCGTCTGCAAAATATATTTAAAAAATACAATTAATACATGATCATTGTAATCATTTGAATAATATGATGAAATCTATCAAACTACATTTATTACACGGTAAACAAATGTCAGTTTTCTGATGCATGCATGTAAATTTGTTTTATTCTTGCATATTTTCTTCAAAACCAAGATACCTGACATTTCAATAAGAAGATATTTAAGATATTAAAGCCATACTAACGATTTCTTTTGGTTTATTTTCCTTATATTAAAGTGATATAATGCTGTTTTGGTCCTCCATTTCAAAGTTATTTACGCCATATAATGCTTTTGTGGTTCTATTTTCCAAAGATATTTTAGTCACATAATGCTTTTGTGGTTCTATTTTCCAAAGATATTTTAAGTCACATAATGCTTTTGTGGTTCTATTTTCCAAAGATATTTAAGTCATATAATGCTTTTGTGGTTCTATTTTCCAAAGTTATTTAAGCCATATAATGCTTTTGTGGTTCTATTTTCCTAAGATATTTTAGTCACATAATGCTTTTGTGGTTCTATTTTCCAAAGATATTTAAGTCACATAATGCTTTTGTGGTTCTATTTTCCAAAGATGTTAAAGTCATACAATGATTTTGTGGTATCATTTTCCTAAGATACTTAAGTCATATTCTGCTGTTTTTGTTCTATTTTCCAACGAACAAACAAGACTTAACAAAACTTTATTGAAGAAGCACAAGTAACATAGGTTATATTTTGTCATTACATGTACATGTGCGCAAAACATATATCATTCTATACCTACTCAATCACTTTTACACCTTTAAACAATTGTTTATGTTTTAAAATGAATGAACATAATTTATCGATTAAAGACCTTACAGGTTCGTGAATATGCGCAGCAATCTGCGGTCCTGTTCCCGAGTTCCTATGTTACAAAATACATTAATTATCCATACATCCGGGTGTTGGAAATATCAAGAACATCAATTACACATAAAACTGGGTGTTGTGAAGGCTCGGATCATATCACTGCAAACTAATAGAATATTGATAGGAAATATAATCACGACTATCTCGTGTGTATCATATTCCGACAGATATTTAATCAATCGGAACATCCTCGGCTATTATTCATAATAACAAAGTTATTCAAGTTGATGGCATTCGGAACTGCCTCGGCTATTATCTATAATAACCTAGGAAACAATACGGATTGAAAGTAGTTCTACCACGTGGTTTCAGGTGTAAACAAAAACAGAGATAATGTAAAACGAATGAATATATTTGACATCTAATGTGTTTCCCGGTAATCATATGCTTGAAAATATGTCTGACAACAATTTGCAATTTAGGTATGCCCACTGATGTTCCATTTTAAACAAATCCGACTAAATGTCAACAGGTTGTTTTTTTATACATTCGGTTTCTACAACCATAATAATAAATATATAAATAATGTATTGTTTGCTTGTGTTCCTATGAATTCACTTTTTTTAGGTGAACTTTTTCTACATATATTGGAAATAAACTTGTCAACAACTCCAAGCATTAAATTACTACTTGTTTACATGTTTATTTTCTTAGCGTAGGTTAGACCGAAATACCGCATCCGTTCTGTGTATTCATACTATTGTGTTCGAGGTCCTTATCTGACGGACAGGGCAGAGTAGTTGCGATTGGTTTGATGGAATGGGCCAAGAAGTTGCGATTGCTATTTATTTACAGAAAGGTATAGTCTGGGGCATTTTCATATAAAGTTAGTGTAAGTATGGCAGGTAATGGTTCTGTTACTGTGTCAGGTATATCATGTTGGAATAAACAGATTATTTACATTTGTAATATAAGTATCAAGCATAGAGGGTCTTGGAACACTTTAAGTGACAATATTCAAGAGTATAATATTAGTTATGAAGATTGTTGACAGTTTATATGGCCGTATATTCACAATTGTTTGGAAATACCCGAGCCGCTAGAGGAAAAAGTGAGATTTCCTCATAAATTGCCAGCAGCCATGTAGATAAAATTATCTTAATGTCACTATTATCGAAGGAAAAGCTCCACGTTATAAACTAGCAGTATCATAAAAAAGTAAACGGCATAAAAGTCTCGATTATCCAATGAAATGCGACGTTACAAACCTGCAGTATTAATAAGAGAGTGAAAAAACAAGCAATTGTCATATCTTACAGTGGCTGATTTGTGCCATTCGTGTTTTCGCCCCCGACCCCGCCAAGCGAAAAGTCGAGAAAGGCGGAGGCGCGGAGCAAAAGCCCGCTTATTATCAGGGGCGCAGGGCGGAGTTTAATAAATAAAACTTCGCTCCGCGGGGTCGCCACGCGAGATTTAAGAAATAAAACGCCGGGGCGCAAAGCGCTAATTAGCGTGTTTCGCTCCGCGCCCCGCCATTTTAACTTGTTAATTCTCAACATTTCGCTTGGCGGGGTCGCGGTCAATTGTTAGTCGATCACCATTTAATCTTTTGAAATATTAAGTCAATTCAGCTCTTATTGGCAATGGAAAATAAATATAATGTCACTTTAATTATATGCATGAACAAAATTAAAAATAACGTGTTACTAGTTTTAATGGGAGTCATTATCAAATATCTTTGATCAATAGATCACATTATAATAGGATAAAAGGAAAATTTACATCAAATTCACATAAAAGCGTATATTTAAAAATCTTAAGCATTATCTTATTATATTTGATCTTATTTTATTTTTACTTACCTGAATGTATTGTCGAAACACATGGAATATCCACCATAAAGAAATACATAGGAACAGAGCCCCTTCAAATACGTGTGCCGCAAAGTCGCCCATGACTTATGTTGTTTGGTTGTTGCTGTTTTTTTTTCTGTCAAGAAAAGAAAGAAAAAATGGTCATAGACACAGGATGGTCAATACTTGAAAATCCTCAAAACTGCTGCATCCCAAATAATAATTTCAATGCAATGTGATACTATGCTCTGTTCTGTTTATAACATGCTGGTGTATGTATATACATTGTTTTTATGATTATATGAAAATTACTAGTTCAGTTAAAAGAAAATTACTCGAGGGTAGTTCAAATAAGCTTGGGTCTTTCATCGCAATCACATCACAATCTCATTATTATAATCACATCACAATGATATGACAATAATCATATCACAATCATCATATTACAATCACATCATAATCATATCACACTCACATCGCATCACAATCACATCGCAATTAATTGAAAAATAAAACAATAAACTAACATAATCATATTTTAAATCACAAAATATAACAGAACATAAAACATAGTTAAAACGAATTAATTCTTATTACAGTTTAAACGAGCGCAGTTGATAGTGAATATTTGCATGGACGTCAAAATAAAGACGCGCGCACGTGTTTTAAAAGATTATTTTCCAATGTCCCATCCTGTACACCGCCTTAAAATTTTAAAGACGTGGCTGTTTATATTCTAATACAATATACCGGTATTTTCATATAACATGTATAACTGGATAGTTAGAATTTAAGCAAATAACCAAACACCTTTAACAACTTTAGTATTGACCAGTCAAACCTTGAGCTGAGCTCATAAACTTAAAGTGAATTGGTCTATAATATCATGAATAGTTATGATGTTTATAGTATTTAGTATCATGAGTGACAACAAACTACGGAAGAATTATAAATGAGCCGCGTCACGACAAAACCAACATAGTGCGTTTGCGACCAGCATGGATCCAGGCCAGCCTGATAAGTGTAAGAAACGTGATCTGATATTACATATCAATAAAATGATGATAATAATTGTTCTAGAACACAGAAAATATTTTGCGTCACTCGAATGCTCATACATGTACTCAATTACTAAGAACCCTACCAACATTTTACTTTTAAGAAATATTTCATAAGAATATCCAAGTGATACATTTCTATATGTGATTTATTTGTTAATATTTGAATTTTTTATGGGACACGTGCCCATTGTAGACCAATCCACTTTAAACACGAAAAGCAAGCAAAACCTTGAAGCATTTACAAGGGTTGCTCAAAAAATAGAAATGCGGTTATACTGTTCACATATTACCATCAACGTACACGATTTAAAATGACCAATCATTGGAACATGTTGATTTATTTACAGTGGGAAAAAATCAATTCTGTAAAAATAGAAGATTTTGTGTCAGGTACTAAACTACAATGTAAAGAAAATTAAATGCACATAGGGTAGGCTTTTATAGCACTATCCGACCACTTGTTCCTTTGGTGACGATAAACTACATAAAACAGACGCATAAAACCCTTCAATGTCTGCAGTGAAGCCGGACTCAAGGACTTTGTGTTGCTCCACTAAGTATAGGCTCACTACTATATCAATATCACTACTGATCAATAGATAAAAGGACAGATCTTCCCGCAAGTGTGGAAAAATCCTTTTAAACGCCATAAAACTAACTGCCATGAAGTGTTGGTAGTTTATGATTATATCTAATTGGTGTTAATGTGGTTTAATCTTACTTAAATATTTGTATACGGGTTAAACATGTCAATAACAGAAGCCTAACGTATTGTAGTACCGTATGAAGTACCGTATGAAGTACCGTATGAAGTACCGTATGTCCTATTATCTAAAAGTACATTGTTTATATATTTTACATAACAGTGCGCGGAAAGATTTTTTAAAGCAATTTCAACTGGTAATGGTCTCTTTCAACAATAAACTGATATAATGAAAGTAACTTTATATACCAATGTACTTATTATTATTATAATGCAATGCAATGTAAAAATTAAACTAACAAGTAAAACAAATTATACTGATAAATAAAGTACTTGATAAGTAAAACAAAACTGTTTTAGCGAAATGTTCAAGTAGCATGCCTCTGTATTCAATTAAATAATCAAAGGGCTGCAAGTTCTGTGGTATTTTCTGATCTTTGCAATCTAAATCGTACTGTATATCTGTATGTATTTTCCTGTATAAGTTTATTTTTATATACTATAATTCATCTTGCAGGGCACCGAGATGCAGCGACTGAGTTTAGATTTTTCACTATAGTTTTTTTTCTTTGGTCTTACAAGGAAGATGTGGTGCATGAATCTCTTCCAGGCTACAGTATAACGAAGATGTGTGATATTGTTTGTTTTACATAAAGATCGGATCCATATTCACTCAAAACAAACAAAAGTCCATTATCTTTAAGCAGCATATACCTTAAGATGACCGCACATTTTTTAGGTCGTATGTGTTTTCATAGATTTATAAATTTCCTGATGGTGGCATGCTTTCCGTTCTATCACGAACTTGATTGATATTGTCAATGAAAGTACGTGCTTCTATTTATAGAGTTTTAACATTTACTGCGGTTGTTATGCATTTTGTTTTCCAATGTAGTATTACAATTTAATTTTTAATTACCTGTACCCGTAATCGAATTAGAAATTCCAGTGCAAATTATGTATGTATGTATGTATGTATGTATGTATGTCGTACGTACGTACGTACGTACGTACGTATGTATGTAAGTGTGTGCGTGCGTATGTAGTCTATGTTAAATGATGGTCCATCCGCTCGTTAAGGCACAAAAAGCGGCTTTCGCTGTCGACCCGTACATGTCACCATTCATGCCTTGTTAGAGTAATTTTGAAGCAAAACGTGGTGATAATTTACTTCCGAGTAATAGCCAAAGATATGAATTTTTAACCAAAAGTAGGTCACTGTACTGCGGTCAATGAGAACCTAAATGTACAATAATCAGGGACAATAATGAAAGGAGGTAACGCTTGAAAGGGCTGTTGGTGCCAAGCAAAGGGCGTGCATTACAAGCCGTCATTCGTACTAGGGGCTCAAACACCCTAGTACACCATCCTCGTCGACTGTGCCTACTGTGTAGGGCCTCTCCCCTCTGCTTAAGTCAGGATACTGGCTATTAACTTCAAGTCGTGCCGCCTTAAAGGTAACCCCGAGCTGTAGAAAACATGAGAACTTGCCGTCTTACACGTAGCATTGGTTCTGCAATCATCTGTCGATGTCCTGTGCCTTCTCAACGACTGAACGTATCGAGTTGAAGAGAGAAGCCAGTGCAATTCTTCCTTATCAGCGACATTCTTTTTGACCGACTCTAGATACAGTTATTTACTAGGCATGCGCATTTCCGAATATAATTGTCATCGGTGTACTTTAATGCCGATTTGTTTGTCAAATGTATTTTGTAAAACAAATCTACTATTATTACGCACATCAAAGAAAATGTACGTGTTTGTAATTTCTCTCGTCTCAGTGGAAAAGACACTCTCACGTGACAAAAAAAATATAAGTTTACGGAATCTGTCGAGCGGCTACTGGTTGTTCACGATATTACCCCGACTCGTGCCGATATTCCCCGATTTAGATTTATTAGGACCGTACATTTCATAAAGCATCATTATTTCATGAAGTAATGTCGTTAAATTATTAACTGATGATGGTTATAAAATTACCGAATGATGTATAAAAATGTAAAAATTAAATATTTGAAAATCGAGAAAAAATTCCCTCTTTAAATTGATATAAAAATTGTTCAAGTGCATAATTCACTATTTATAACAGAAAAAGGTATCAAATATAAGATATTTTGAAGATATTGTTTTTAAAAAGTATAGACAAACATATATATGCGAGATTACATGATTTATTTATAGCCAAAAGTTAGGTAAAGCGAAGTAAATCAGAAATATTGTTAATAAAAAGAGTAAAAACAAGTCCATAAATCCGAGAAAAATATTTTATAAGGAGGTAAAAAAGTTATTCATTGGCCAATTACAGAGCCCTTTGTTTTAATTTTGTTTCTTTTGTGAAAAATTATTTCACATTTATCTCAACATTTTTAGGTAAAAAGTTCTAATATTTCTTTAAAACCATTATTTAAACATTACAAAATTCATGTTTGTCTTTTCTAAAAAAAACTTAAAAAAATAAATATTTATTTCTGAGGCATAATGTGGCTTTAATTGATTTAAAAATATTCGGAATTACTAATTATTTTTTTATTTAAGAGTGAAAAATATACAAAATATGTAAATAAGTAAATCTTACTTCCTTTTAATACTTGGAAATTCCGAAAACCGTATGAGCCCTTTATAATTCGAACCCTTCCCTGATACGCAGTTATTATCCAAAATGATTCTTCAAAATAAAATAGAAAAGAAAAATATACGATAATTTCAAAATGTATAGTAATTAACACACATACAAAAATCACAGATAAATTTAATTAAATTTAACTGTTCAAATGGTCGTCAAATATTTTAATAGTACAGTAAATAAATATACGCACTGATGTCACATAATTTGACCACACAATAATTCCGACTAAAATCAGGACGACGATTTACGGAATACCAATAATATATCGGTATCGATTATGTGTTTCCGATAGCGGTTTCCGGCATGGAATGTCGCTACCATTTAATTAAGAAATAGTTTTGTTAAACAACCTTGAATAAATATACCGCCTGCAAGTGAAAAAGTAGCTGGTGTTGCTATAACACTGTATGCGATGCTAAATTAATACATAGTTGAAGATATATTATGCTCAAATTTGATAGTAGAAAATATTGATAATTTGCTTCACGGTATTTTCTAAATACGTAACGATTTTACGGAATAACCAATAATATATCGGTATCGATTATGTGTTTCCGATAGCGGTTTCCGGCATGGAATGTCGCTACCATTTAATTAAGAAATAGTTTTGTTAAACAACCTTGAATAAATATACCGCCTGCAAGTGAAAAAGTAGCTGGTGTTGCTATAACACTGTATGCGATGCTAAATTAATACATAGTTGAAGATATATTATGCTCAAATTTGATAGTAGAAAATATTGATAATTGCTTCACGGTATATTTCTAAATACGTACTAGTATAAAATAAGCATGTTTTGACTTCTCACAAAGTAGTTATTTTATGTTAAAAATTCTACACACTATAGGTGGTCACAATGTGAATATATGGTGTCATTAAAAAATGCATTTTTTCTGTTTTTTTTTTTTTTTTTTTTTTTTTTTTTTTTTTTTTTTTTTTTCAAGACCAAATTTACTTGACTAAGAAAAGGGAACACAGTTTCCCGTACATAATATATTCATTCTATTATTCATTTTTATTCAAATTAGACATATTCAGTAAGAAATTAATAGATTTTAAAAATATCTGTGATTAAAATATTTTACTCAAGAATGTGCATAGTATATCTTTAAGCATAATTATACTGAATATGGTTAAACATAATTATAGGGGTGAATTTAGGACACTTTGGATGGGGTATATTCAATTGTCGGCAGGAGAGTAAAGGTTAAAGATTTAAACATTTGATCGATAATAATTTCTCTAAAGAAAGATCGATTTCCATAATTTCTTTTTAGAAGAAAAAAACATTCTTTGTGAACATTTATTGTATTGAACGTCAATCAACTCCCTGCAGAGTCCGACAAACTCTGTTTAACTTGTATACAACAATTACAAGCATGTTTCACATATAATGACTATGAAGGTTAATGGTTCGGCTGTGGGTATCCGACGATGCAGTTAATTATAACCCGACCCAACCCCTAAGCAATGTTGGAGAAAACGGTCGTTTTACCTTTTATTCAAGCGCCGCTTTGTCAATCGAGCGGTCTTGATAGCATTAAAAAAAGCATAACTTATATCATGGACGGGGATTTTACACTTTGATTTCATGCCGCCATTCCCCATGGTTACCCTTTAAGTCGAAAAAATATTGAAGGGACAGTTGCGAATCGTAGAGTCTTTGTTGTTTGTTTTTTATTGTATACACAAACAAAATACATGTAAATCTAATAAAAAACTGAAAAATTATATTATACAAACAATAAATTGTATAAAAGTTTAATATTATATTTAAGTTTAAGTTAAAATGTGTGATTTTTATACAGATATTTTAATATATACGATTGTTTATGAAATTATAATTTTTAAATAAAACGTTTTTATAATTATCTAACAGTGGTATATTTACCAGCACGTGACATTTTTTTTGTTAACGAGCCGTCCGGTTAACTTAGTAGGTAAAGCGATGGACTGTGAATCGGGCGATCGGGGTTCGATTCCCGGACGGCGCATGTCACTTTATTTGGGATTGGTCATGAAATCCTTCTAAGGTCATTCGCACTGTACCTCTGCTCTGGCATGTACATAAGTTTCAGTTCCTTCCGAAAGTGAAGGCAACTAGTATTGTTAAACTGCTTGACAGCCTGTCCAGAAACGATGCGGTGGTTGAACTGTGCGCTTGTGAATTCAATGTGGCTAATTGTCGTGATCCGGTGTGAAAACTACCAACACCACCACATTTTTGTTAACGTCGTCATGACTGTAACATATTAATGCACGACTTTTTTTCTAAAAGTAGAAAAAAAGAGATTTTGAAGTTTTTGCTTTACGTGAGAACAGTACGTTACCAAAGGGAGAAGCTTGTTGTGAAATTTTAAAGACATAAAGCTTTTCTTTACAAATTATCAAATCTTTCTCGGCCAACAAGAACTTAATATAGCAAGATTTCAACCTAAGCTTGTTGTCGACTTTGCAAAAATTTTCTATTTTAAGGTTGCGCAACGGTTGCCCTAATGAAATTTATGTGTTCTTTATAAACTTTTACTGGTCTCAACATGAACAATTGTTCACAGATTCACTGATCCACATTAAACAATAAAAGTAATGTAAAAGACAATTATTTACTTTGACCATTTGCAAACACTACCATCTATTCAAGGCCAAAAGGTTTGTTTATCAAGGGTCTATAGTTTTGTAATAGACCCATCGTTGCGAAACAATAGAATTTCCATTACTTTCGTAGGCGGGTCTATTTTTAGGACACGAAACGCTTAAAAATCAAAACAACTAAAACCAATTTTATGTCACAAGTGTCACTAAAACTTATTCCACATATGAAATGAGCCGCGTCATGACAAAATCAACGTGATGCGTTTGCGACCAGCATTGATCCAGACCAGCCTGCGCATCCGCGCAGTCTGATCAGAATCCATGCTGTTCGCTTACAAACCCTATTACAAGTAGAGAAACTGATAGCGAAAAACATGGATCCTGATCAGACTGCGCGGATGCGCATGCTGGTTTGTTTCCATGCTGGTCGCAAACCCACTATGTTGGTTTTGTCGTGACGCGGCTCAAATGGTTCTTAAGCCGCTCAGACATCCACAGGGGTACCAAACACTCCAGCTGCGCACGATGTGGACCGAGTTTGGGACTAAAAATGTTTCTTTCCCACTGTAAACAGTCTTTATATTGGGTATGTGATAAATAGAATATTATATTCGTGTAGGTTCATTACTGAATTATATAACACGTTGATTAAAGTAATATTTTACTCGCCAGAGGCTCGCATAATATAATTTTATTCAACTCGTTCAATAACTTTAGTACTGAACCTACATTCGTTCAATATCCTCTATGTATTATTGTAATGTTAATAATTAAGTGTTTTCATAACTGCCTTGTTATTTGGCTGAAGACAGGCATATAAGCCTGAGGCCAAAGGCCGAAGGCTAATATGACAGTCTAAAGCCGAATAACAAGGCAGTTATGAAAACACTTAATTATTGACAATTTTATTAATTAACTACACATAAGCTAAATAAAATTAATGATATAGTGAACAAAAAATAACTAATGTGAAATTCCGTTGTTGTATTGCAAATGAGATTCAAGTTTTAAAAATGTCTCGGAAACCTACCGTGCAGCAATTTAAAATGGAGATTTTTTTTCAATGCAAAAAAAATGATTTTCATAATGGCCGAGCTTAAGAGCCAATCAAAAGTCTCAAGTCTCATACTAGCCGTGTTTTCTCATAAAGGCCGTGCTTTTTGCATAATGGCCTTGTTTTATGTTCATAATGCCGTGCTGAACTTCATATTAGCCTTACATTTGAAGTGAAAACGTGATTAATAATGAAAAGTTAATTAATAAAGTATAAAAATGCACGGTTTATCGTTCAAATGCCTTGTAATTAATCAATATCGGTCTTCGTAATTATATTCCTGCATATTTGAACCGTGCATTACTTTACAATTGATTTTTTCCCTTAAATATGAGCTCGATTTTTTTATCACGTCAATCTGATGAAAATCAGCTCTTAAATATTCTTACATTCTGAGGTCAGATTGTGAGGAAATAGCGTTAATTTCGAAGTCCGCTTCACGTTTCAAATTGAATCGGAACAGTATCATGCAAGAAATGCGTTTTGTGACCTGGGCTCAAACCTATGACCTCTTGACCGACAATTAGGAATATGACAATATAGATTACATCTTAAAGTATTATAAAATTTTGTAATTTTAAATTAATTACACTTTTAAACTTATATTAACGTTATCATGACAAATATATAATATTCACGTATAGTTTTTTTGTATTTGAAAGCCTGGTTTGAAAGCATAAATAAACATGAACCTCGTAAATAAATCGATTAACTTCTTGTTAATCATTTAAACAGTGATGCTAAATAATTTAAATCAAAACAGATCGTAGCTCTTAGATACGAGACGGCTAATCTCGTGTGACAAAAAAAAATATATTTCTGACATACCAAGTTCACAGTGTATCTAAAAGGAAATTATAGGCATATTTTGTTAATAGTTTCTTTATTTGTTTAGATTGTTTCTTGGAGACGAGCGATCGATTCACTGATTTTCTTGTTTGATGAAATAATGTTCCTTGTGTTCATTAATTAACTAGACCGTTTCTTAACGCACATTGATGATCGATCGCCATGAGGTTAAATCTCTGTATGATTTATGTTTGTCATTTATAATTGATAATGATATGAACTGATCTTTTTTATTTAACCTTTCACCTGTGGGATCAATAGTTATTAGCTTTTGCCATTCAGTATAGAGCCAGGCGAATTTGCACATCTTTGTAGTCACTGGTGCGTGATTAAATTTTAAATATGAACAGTTTAAAAACTTAAATGCTGAATACACTGGTAAAAGTCAAAATAACTTAACATTTTGTCATAATTGTTTTCAAATAATATTTTTCTATGCAAATATAATAAATAATCCAAATGATCCACGAACATGAGGCGTTAACGTGCAATTTTTAAAAAAGAGTTTGCGCAGTCTTTTTATGAGTAATTATTGGTCAGTCACCATTATAAAAATGAATCGTTTGAAATAAATTTACATTAACATGGCAGCGAAAAAAAATAACATAAAGTCACTTTAAAAAAATTCAACCGGTTAATAGTTAAGCATCTATAATTTTTGAACTATTGACTTTGGCTTAACTGACCTTAACTAATGTGTACGTCACTAATCAGAGCTTTTCACTAATAAGTGGTGAAGATGTACAAGCGAATAGATAGCTCAGTCAGTAGAGCCAGGGCACAGTATTCTGAGGGTTCCGGGTTCGAGATCTGGTCAGGCTGCACTTTTTCCTCACCCTG